TCTCAGGGAGCTTTTATTTAAGTGACGCCATTTCCAACCCCCTTACAGTTGCATTAAAATCTTTAAAGCGATTCCTGTGTACTGGGTGTGGGAGTCGAAGAACGAAACCCCTTTCTTAATTACACCACCCCCTTAATAAAACAGCCCCCCTGACGTCGTGTGAGAGGAGAAAATCGATAATGCGAAATAACATTTCCATTGCAATTTCTTTCTTGTATACTTCTAACTTGGTTAAAGACAGCAAAAATAATATTCTATACTGAAAAACTATTTGTAAGGATGATACATGTGTGGTCAATGTGTTTGGTCATACTGTTCAATTATTTAAATAAGTATATTTTGCGTTATTTTTTATTTAACCTACCATTTTAAACCCAGGGTTCAGGGTGCAAATGTTGAAATCATAAAACCAGAAAATCACTCAGATCTTGTGAATTGTTTTTCGGTCTATGTCACAAACTCTTCAGTGTGCTAAGAGCTAAAATTATACCTTAAGGCTTTGTGTGAGAGTCAGATAGACAAAGCCCTGCATAATGTTCCCTAATGAGCCTTTATTCTGCAGAATGAAACTATAATTTTGAAAGTATGCATATTATTTTAGCTATTGTTCTCAGATCGAAGTGCCTGAACGGTTCTGAGAAACTTCCGGTCCTAAGTCACCATTGGGTTTGCATAAATCAACTCAGGATTCTTCAAATCATTACTAAAAAAAACCAATAACTTGAACTTATAAAGTTAGCATTGTTTGTACTTACCATACCAATAAAGAATTTCCCTTATACGGTTGATTCTAAAGCCTAAAATTCCCCATCATTCTATCATCCGTCAAATGGGCAAAATGCAAGAAAAACTTAAGATCGATTGCCTGAATGGTTCTGAGAAACTTTCGGTGCTAAGTCACCATTGGGTTTGCATAAATCAACTCAGGATTCTTCAAATCATTATTAGAAAACCAACAAATTTGAACTTATAAAGCATAATACTTGCCATACCAATAAAGAATTTCCCTCATAAGTTAATTCTAAAGCGTAAAATTCCTCATCGTTCTATCATCCGTCAAATGGGCAAAATGCAAGAAAAACTTAAGATCGATTGCCTGAATGGTTCTAAGAAACTTCCGGCCCTAAGTCACCATTGGGTTTGCATAAATCAACTCAGGATTCTTTAAATCATTATTAGAAAACCAACAAACTTGAACTTATAAAGCATAGTACTTGCCATACCAATAAAGAATTTCCCTCATAGGTTAATTTTAAAGCGTAAAATTCCTCATCGTTCTATCATCCGTCAAATGGGCAAAATGCAAGAAAGAAGCTCATTCTCCTTGTCGTTAGTTTGTCCAGTCTAATCCGGAAGCTTAACCTCATACCTGATCCTAAAAACCTCTAAAACAACACAATTTTCAAATCACCCCGCTTTGGCTCAAGAACCCTCTTCTAGGCAGTATACACAGGCCTAGTCTTTCTGAAAACTATCCTTATGCAGATGATACCGCCAGATCTCTTCCATTTTACATCCCTTGAGCAGTGAGGCTGTTCAAGTTCCAAGCTGTGGAACATGACAATAAAGGTACATAAATGTGAACATGTCAGTCATCCTTCGAACCAAACACTGCTCCCTTCAACTACAACAGTATCATTCTTCAACCAGAACTGTAGTCCGCTACCTTAGGCGCGCAGCTCAAGGTTCAGACTTCTCAAAACATTCCTGGAACAACTATTACAACTGTACAGAACATACGACTCATTTATACCTCAATTCTGAGACCTATTTGGGCATATATCATTGAAATTTGGGTGTTTTTTCATCCTTACAGCCCGTGTATCAATAATTTTTTTGGCATCGCCGTTTGGGTATCCGCCATTTCTTTTTTCTCTCTTTTTCGAAGCATGTGGAAGCCCGAAGCGGCAAGGAAAGGCGCAGCCGGAAAGCGGGAGATTGCCCAAGCCTGCCTAAGGGTACCAGCACTCATACTTATTTATTTTTAGGGCCTATATACGATTTCCATCTTTGGGGATGCCAATAAAAACCATTTACAACGCCATGGAAAAGACCACATCCCCATGGAATCCGGGGCAAAAGACCCCAAGCCGCTGGCGACCCCACAGTCCAGCACCACCCAAACCTACCAGGGTCATTTTCATAAGTTGCCAAAATGTTTTTCCGTCATACTCTGCAATATAAATGTTTTTAGTCACCAACATTAACGAATATAAAAAATGTATCGCCATCTTAGATGTTATCACATCAAGAGATCGAATAAGGATATTAGAGGCAAAACTCAGAAAAGCACCAGAAAGACATGTCTAATCACGAAAAATCATAGTCTGCAATGTAATATTTTAGCACAAAACATAAACGAACCAATGAATTCCTAAACCGTATAATTCACGTTTTTCGCAATTTAAAAATTGAGTGGTATTAAAAGGAGTAGAGCGATGCAATACGCGATACGACAAGTGATGCGATATGCAATTCGACACCGTATCGCACGCCAGGGCGATTGCGAAATAATAGATCGGCTGGAATTGTGAATCATGTGGCCTGCAATGTAATTTTTTAGCACAAAACATAAACTAACAAAAAAACCCTCACGGCAGTACGGAATGAGAGATAGACTAATATAAATGAAGAATGGTGGAGTGAGTGCGGTGTTCAATCCTTTTTAAAAAGATCCGGTTTTCGAGCCCTTAGCTCATCATCAGGTTGTAGAACTCCTTCAACCTGATGATGAGCTACGGGTTCGAAATCTGGACCGTTGCAAAACAACTTACTGTGAGTAGGAACTATCTTTTTAAAACGGATTGAGAGATAGACTTCTTTCTTTTGCGGAAAATATCCAGCGATGCTAAAAATTGGCTACTTTAGAAAAGCAATGGGTATATTATTATTTATTTTATACAAAGAGTAACATCATAAATATATTGCAATAGGATAAAAAAATAGTCAAATTTTTTTGTTTATTATTAACAGCTGGCGTTAAATTAAATTAGATTCGGGCCATTTTTCCTACACCGGGGGGGGGGGGAATAATGAAAATAAAATAATGGTTTGTTAGTTAACTAGCTAAATTGAAATTTTATTTAAACTAGTTAATTAAATATTTTCCCGTGTAACTTCACTATTTTTTACAGTATTTATTAAGATAATATTTAGTTCTGTTGTAATTCACGTTTTTCGCAAGTTCAAAATTGAGTGGTATTAAAAGTAGCGGATCGACGCAATGCGCGATACGACAAGTGATGCGATATGCAATTCGGCACCGTATCGCTTACAACGTGTATTCCTTGCTGCAACGAAACTAGTGCACGCCAGGGCGATTGATAATTATCGCCGTCGTATCGGTCGGAGCGACACAACCTATAAATCGCCACGAACTAGTCAGACTAATTTTTTATTGCAGTATGTACTTCATGTTGTCAAATATGTATATTGAACTTATTTATAAAGGCTGTGAGTGCATCGAGAACCGGAATGTTTCTTGTGACCGAGAGTACGATATCCATTTTTTTGGAGTTCTGAGAACAAAACCTTCCTGTCCATCGTGTTTCTTGGGCATGCCAGGATAACGTCGTTTGAATCGGCAATGGTACTTGCTTCGCATTCACAACTGGTGCTGTCCACAATACCAATTTTGGCAAGGTAGTATGATGGTTATGATTAAACCTGAATATCGTCGTGAAGAACTTTCTTGGCCTATTCACATTAATGTGCCAGGGTTTATGTTGGATGCTAGGCTGTACATTAGCGTAGTGCTGGCCTTTCGTTATTTTGGATTCGTTATACTTCTTTTTCCAGTTCCTCCTTGCAATTTGTTCCAGGTGAGCCCTGAGTCACATGGGACGAACGACGTTGTAAGCAACCCCATTCTGTGCAGCGTCTTTTGCGAGTATAATTCGTTGCTGTGCCTATTTACACGATGCGCTTTGTCCCAGATGAAGTGGATGTCAACATCTTTTTTTTTTCATTTTCTCAATCATATCCAGCATTTCATCTATTAGGGGATTCTGTTGGCGAGTAGCATATTTGTTGGCCATTAGCACGCTAAGGCTGTCGGAGATTATGACAATTTCTTGGTCTGATAGTGTTCGAATATATCTCAACGCTTCCAGTATAGCCGTACTCTCGGCTGAAGTTATGTTGGGAGCATAACTTAAACGTCTTATTTCCAGGGTCAGATGTATATTATTTTTATACTGTTACAATTTCCGATTTCGAAGCAGCCTTTTATAGCTAGTGTTTTTCTTTCCAAATCCTTAACACTTAATATCACACTTGGTCTTTAAGTCTTTGGCTCCCAGAATGGCACTTTCGCCTGTCCCAATACGTTAAAATAATATTCTTAAAAAATCAATTAGAATACTTTTATTTTCGAAGTAAACACCCTTCCCAAAGTAAGGCTTGTAGAACACACTGAAGATGCGAAATGCCGAAATGCGTCTGACACCCAGGATGGATTCAAGATGATCGATAAAGATCAAATTACTGGTTCATCACCCCACAAGCTACAGGAGTAAATCTCACAATCTAACATTGAAGCTTCAACTAAACGTACCTTCAGCATATTCAACATTACAATCCAAAATTCGGCGAACATCATGGTTCCTGTGCATCCAATCTTACCATTCACAACGACCTTATTATCCAATGACATTCAAGTAACCAAAACAGGTATAAAAAGTTTAACAAACTATCATCCACAAATTACCCTTCCAGATCCTTTTCCTTGATGATTGGTCATCACTGTCCTAGCGACCTCTTAAGTGGCAATTAACGCCAGTGCACATGAGTGTCCACTATTGGCGTTTATTTGTTTGTTTGCCTTCTTAATATTTTGAACGTTCCCCTGAGAAAAACAAAATAAATAAATTAATCTTTATGTGGCATTGGATGAGATAAAAAGTCAACATCTATTTATTGATGTTCATTTATTGTTACGTTGTGGTGGTAGGTTATGGCATAGGTGTATAAAGTCAGTTATGATAGAAATAAATCTAGGAGATTGCGAAGGTCTGGAATATACAGTCAAAAACTTTTACAATTGCTATAAGTGGCAAAATAAATCTTGACATCATTACTTAATTTCCGTAACGGATTATTAAAATTTAACAAAAACAAGAATGTTCAGAATAAATATGTATGCAGTAATGAATGCAGGGGGCCAATTTGGAAAGGAAACGGGGCCAGAGTGGTATGTAATTCCATGGGCGCGACGTACCTCCGCTCTGATTGTTTTATTGCACTTGGTGAATTATTGTTAATGTTAAGGTACTGTCTATATTATATTAATTACAGGTCATTACGCTGAACCTGATTCCGAGAAACAGATTTAAATTAGCAGTTAGAGAGGATAACATTAACGAATGCCGATTCCAATTAGATTGACTTCCCGGCGTAAAGAGGTAATCTTTTATCTTAAAATATGAACGAAAATTTAAAATAGATTAGTGTAGTAATCAATGGCCCTCAATCTCACAGGGTAACAAAAGTAATATTTAAATTATCTTATTAAGCTTTATTTCCAAGCCTATCTTGCAAATTCAAAGAGCACAGAGAATACTTTTTTGCAGGTTCCTCAAATGCAGAGAAAGGTTGCTCGATGTCTCCCATATAATAGAAGCGTGTCATGCAATTTTAAGAATGGCTTTTGGACACGGTAGCGAGTTTCCCCTTTTCAGAGGAATTGGGAATTTTTTTTATTGTAAACACCCATCAAAATATATGTTTTGTGCCTCTGTGTTTTGTGCAAGGGAGTTTATTTATTAGAGTGAATTGGGAAGGGCTGATGGTGAAATAGCATTTCCATCGCCCCCAATTAGATTACTTTGTCCATGTAGGTTGATGGAGGAACATTGAGTACTCCATCTACTAAATATAATGAAGGCGATGTGTATAGATGTGAATGTATTTATTTGTGTGAGTGTGAATGCAGTGTTTGTAGTTGTATTTCGCATGCGCTCGGGGCTGAAAGGACCAAGCTGTCGAGTGCCCCTAAAAATTAAAAAAATAAAATAAAGAGAGAGGGAGGGAGAGATAGATAGATAGATAGATAGATAAATGGATAGATAGATAGATAGATAGATAGATAGATAGATAGATAGATAGATAGATAGATAGATAGATAGATAGATAGATATAGAGAGAGAGAGTGAAGATTCAAGACTCTTCCTGAGGGTGATTTTTATCTGTTGTAAATATGTACAAACTCTGAGTCTTCCAACATGGCATATGGCACATTTTTATGGAAGAATCTCAAAAGAGAAATGGCATGACCAGACACCACAGGAATTAAATCAAAGAACAGCTTTACCAACTGTTGACCCGCAAGCGAAACTTTTTTTAATATACGTAATAATTAAAAAATGGCGGGGGCGTCGGTGGCCGCAACCTTTTAGGCGTTGACACGGCGCTCATCACTGAAAGGTGAAGGTCCCGGGTTCGAATCCAGCGGCCGACATAAACGGGCTTTTTTAACAAAGACACCGGCACTCCGAGGGTTGATATAATCTCTGCTGTTGCGAACCGTGGTAAAAAAGAGAAAAAAAATAAAAAATGGCTCAGGGAGATTTTATATTGCCTAAGTAGGAATGTTTTTAAGTAGACCGAATAACCTACGAGCCAATCCGAACTGGTTTTGTGCCGTTAGCTGTGTGGTACTGCTATGTCCAGGAGTGCAATACCATTGAACACAAGATTTAGTTTTAAACAAATCGTCTGATGGTTTTTGGCAATATGGTCTCTCCTGGTTCTCAAACCAGGGTTTGCGGTCGATATTTTGAGTTATTAAGATTGAAGATTTGTTGTACCCATTTTGGTAAGAAAATTAAATGGATGGATATTATATTCGGCGGAAGTCATTTGAAAAAAAAAATGTGCTTGAGTATATTTGATGACTATTAAAAGTGCCAAATTGAACGACTCTCATAGATTGTTTGTCATTTATAAGACTGGAACTAAACTTTAAAGAAAACTAATAAAGAAAACGTTACAAACTAGCAGAAAACTGGGGAGTTGAAGAAGTGTAATTTCAGCTAAAGCAAAAGCGAGAAGAAAGAAAAAACGGAAAAGAAAGATTGTCATGAAAGTCAACAAAATGAATTTTCCGAGTTATTATTGTTATAGGAATGAACGGTGTGAGAAAAGGTGGAGAATACGACGCCTTGGGAAATGAGAAGGGTCGTTTAAAAAGTTGGGAGCTTCTCATTAATACTTGGGTCTTGAGGGTTATTTCTCTTTGGGGAGGGCGGGTAAGATGCTGCGCACGGTCCCTCCGCTAATGAAACATGTTCCCCTCATATTGCCAAGTAAGAAATGAGCTTTCCGACTTAGCCAGTCTGTTCATAACACCGTCTCCACCATCTATCTACTATCCTCATTTCCCCCCGCACATCCACCGCATACTAATTTATAAATATACCAATATATATGAGAATTTCCTTATTTTTACCCTCTAAACCTCTAAACTTCACATCCTAATTGAAAAGAACAATTACTATATAAATCATGGTAAAAGTAACGCTGTGAGCGAACCTTACTAAGAGAAAAATGTTTATACTTTCTACAAAAAGACATTTTAAAAAATTACCAATTACAAAAAAATTATTATGTTGATAACGAGCCTTCGTTAATAAACAACAACAATTACAAATATTTTCCACTATTTAAAGGTGTTTTAATTAAAAAAATAATTTAGATAATGTATAAGATACAATAACATCAATATACCTTTAAAAAAGTTACCAAATATTATATTTTGCCTAAGCTTTATGCAAATATTTTTTAAACAATATAATAATATGTTGAACCGGCCACAGGATCTGTCTCCACTCGCGGGCATTGCGTCATCTTCAGTGAGGAACATTTGAACGAGTTTGAAATCAATCGGCGGATCCAGGTTGGTCATCGGGAGGAGGGGTGTAATAATTTCTATTTTTTTGCACAAGGGACCTAAAAACGTGCAAAATGAGTGAAAAATCTACACAACTTTTTCTCGTCCAAACGCATTACTTTCTCCTTCTTCAAAGTGAAAAACTGAAAAAAATTACTTAATTTAAAAGTTTGAAGTTTAATTTCAAAGTTTCATAAGTTGCCAAAATGTTTTTTCCGTCATACTCTGTGCTCTGTTTTTAGTCACCAACATTAACGAATATAAAAAATGTATCGCCATCTTGGATGTTATCACATCAAGAGATCGAATAAGAAGATTAGAGGCAAAACTCAGAAAAGCACCAGAAGGACATGTCTAATCACGAAAAATCATAGTCTGCAATGTAATTGTTTAGCACAAAACATAAACGAACAAATAAACCCGTAACCCGTATAATTCACGTTTTTCGCAATTCAAAAATTGAGTGGTATTAAAAGCAGAGGAGCGATGCAATACGCAATACGACAAGTGATGCGATATGCAATTCGACACCGTATTGCTTACAACGTGTATTCGACGCAACTAAACCAGTGCACGCCAGGGCGATTGCGAAATAATAGATCGAAATCTGGATCGTTGCAAAACAACTTACTGTGAGTAGGAACTATTAGAAAAAAATAGCCAAATGTTTTTGTTTATTATTAACAGCTGGCATTAAATTAAAATTGAGTGGTATTAAAAGCAGTGGAGCGATGCAATACGCGATACGACAAGTGATGCGATATGCAATTCGACACCGTATTGCTTACAACGTGTATTCGACGCAACTAAACCAGTGCAGCCAGGGCGATTGCGAAATAATAGATCGGCTTGACTTGTGAATCATGTGGTCTGCAATGTAATTTTTTACGATCAAAAAAAAAAAAAACTCATGGCAGTAAGGAGTGAGAGGTAGACTTCTTTCTTTTACGGAATCAATCCAGCGGTGCTAAAAATTGGCTACTTTAAAAATTATAGAATAATTTGAAAACGATGGATATTATTATTTCTTTTATTCAAAATGTAACATCATAAACACATTGTAATAGGAAAAAAAATAGTCAAATGTTTTTGTTTATTATTAACAGATGGCGTTAAATTAAATTAGATTCGGGCCATTTTTTCCTATACCACTTAAAATAATGAAAATAAAATAATGGTTTAGTAGTTAACTAGCTAAAGTGAAATTTTATTTAAGCTATTTAATTAATTATTTTCTTGTGTAACTTCACTATTTTTTACAGTATTTATTAAGATAATATTTAGTTCTGTTGTAATTCACGTTTTTCGCAAGTTCAAAATTGAGTGGTATTAAAAGCAGTAGAGCGACGGAATACGCGTACGACAAGTGATGCGATATGCAATTCGATACCGTATCGCTTACAACGTGTATTCCTTGCCGCAACTAAACCAGTGCACCCCAGGGCGATTGGGACGCAACGCCGGTAATTATCGCCGGCGTATCGGTCGGAGCGACACAACCTGTAAATCGCTCCTGGCGATATATCGGCGCGACTTGTGAATCATGTCGAGAGATGTGCTTGTAACCACTTCAACATGACAATGAGCGTTTAATGATCGAAATCCGAATCGTTTTAAACAACAAATCTGTGAGTGTAATCATAATTTACAAAAAGTGAATGTTAACCTCTTACAATTCAGTTTCTCCAAATATTAACTTCAAATGCTAACCAACTGATCCATGCAACCGTAACTAGGGTCGATGAAGACCCGGAAAAAAGAACTGCAATACAGGCAGCCAATGACCTAATAAAACTTAAAAGACCGATTCTATATTCTAAAATCTGTTTAACAAATGTTAAACTCTTGAAAATGAAATTTCTCCATTGAAATATTTTTACAATGAAGTTGATGATTTCATTTCAATGGTTAACATTTGAAAAAAGAGCCAAAAACCGAAGATACTAGTGTAATTGTAACAAACTCTGAAATTCTTACATTTCTTAATTGTAATTTTGTGACTTTTAGGGTAGTTGTTGATTTTTTGTTAATGTTATATATGATTTCTTGTTTTTTTAAGTAAAAACTATATTTCTCTGTTTTTAACTGTTTTCCTGTTGTATTCAATGATAATGTTTTTCATAGCTGTATATGTAATATTATGTCTCACCAAACGAAGAGTGCCCGTTACTGTGTTATTACCACTGTGAAATATTTTCGGGTATCTTATTACAGGCGTAAAACCCATTGCCAATTAGCAAGCGTTCATGTATAAACAGGGTTTATAAATAATTACGGGCCGTAAAGCCTGTTAATACCATTTGGAACGAAAAAGGTCGTTATTTCAAAGGAAAAAATATCAGCAAGTCAGATACGCTGGTCTGGAGGTGCTCGGCGGATCTTAAACAGTTGCCGGGCTGTTCATAAATATGCCCGGCCGAGTTGGCTAATCGTAAAAGTGCTTATTGCCTTTTTTGACCCTCAGCCGCTAAGAAAACGGGAACATATTAAGTGCCGATAATTTGTGCATGTGAAACTACGATTCTCTTTTATCCGCTTTTAGAATTTTATGCATGCTAAGTATTACACAATCTAATGAGGAGAATCAACCTCAAATCCAAGCTCCTTTCAAATATCGCCATACGTTAAGAAAAACAAGGTGTAGTTATGGTCGGACCCACCACTGAAATGCCGAGAAAACAAGATTTTTCTGACAGACCAAAATCATCTGAAGTTACAAGAATTGATGGCAGAAGAGATCTCACAAAAAAAGTCAGTTCACGCAACATTTAACAATAATA